TCTGCCGCGCCATGTGGTCACCTCCGGGGCAGGCGGGAATCGAACTCATACGGAAGTGGCTTTAGCTTCTCAGTGCAGTGCTTTAATCTGCTGCGCCACAAGGGAGGGCCGCGGTGGAGATTTTTTAAGCTTGACACTTTCCATCTGAGTCCTGACCTGACTTGTACGCGCCCTTACGTGGAATCTGGGCCCCTCTGCTTAATCCATTTTATGAAGAGACCTTTTAGGCTCTGTTGGTACAGTTGTGTCAAGTACTGTTTGTTGTTAAATGCCCAACGGTAACAGTTTCCAACTTGTTCGCTAGCAAATTGTCGATATCAGAGAGGAGATGCCAGAGCAGACAGCCAGGCGGATGCTGAGCCTCCTGGGGACCCTCAAGTACAAACCCCCAGGGAACGCCGCCGACATGTAAGACCCTTCCCACCTGCTGCGCGCCTAGAGCGATGCCCTCGTGCCCAGCCTGGGGGCGCGGCAGCCGCCCCGGCCTGACCTGGTCCCCTCGCCCTCAGACCTTGCAAAGCAATCTCCTGTGTTTCATTTCATGCACAACTTTAGCCTTTGAGCAAGTTAGTTCTTCCCCATCAAAAAGCCAGACACACCCACACAGTCCATTCTGCCCTTTACCTACTGTGACGAGCGCAGTGGCGTGGAGTGCCCACTGACCGCCCGCCTTGTGGGCCAGCGCGCCCATGTCGCCCGTGGCACGTTAGCAGCATGGCTTTACACTCACTGTGGCCGTGGATTTCAGAACAGCTTCACGCTTATCTTTTTAAAACAGTAATGGAAAGGCGGGGGGTGACAGACCCCATTTTGAGCAAGTGCGCTCTTCTCTAAGCTTCTGGCACGCTGCTGGCAGTGCCAGTGCCTGTTTCCTTTCTTAGGAGCACCTTCCGCCAGGGGCTGGTGATTGGGAGTAAACCTGTCATTTATCCAGTTCTCCACTGGCTCCTTCAGAGGACGAGCGAACTGAAGAAAAGAGCGTACTTGGCTCGTTTTTTAATAAAGCTGGAGGTTCCGAGTGAGTTTCTTCAGGATGAAATCGTGGCTGACACCAACAAACAGGTACACCCACGGGGGGTCTGCGGCTCTCTGGCGGTGTAGGACGCCTGTCTGAGGGCGCGGCATCTCTCTGGCCTCCCTTGCTGTCTGTAGCCCCAGGTGGCCACGCTAACAGTTGCCAGCTCATGTTCAGCGGGAGCCACGCATGAAAATAGTGACTTTTGCACGTAGATATGTGAGTGCTGGTAAGTGGATAGAAGAATTCCTGAAGAAAGCAGGCCCGGGTGTGGGGTGGCTGCCACCCGATAGCTCACCATCCCACGCTGAGAGCAAGGAGCTCCTGCCGGAGTGAGACCAGGCAGACGGGATGAGCTCACACAGCCTGGCAGGTCGCAGGAGGGCACTTTGGGGTGGGAGGGTTGGGGTGGGTGGAGAAGCCGGCATGAGGCCCCCGGGTGAGGCCCCTGGGTGCTCCCCATCTGGGAGGAGGAGACAGAGCCGCCTGCCGCCTGGGTGCTGTCCCCACCTGTGTCCGCGGTGGGCTCTGGCCCTGACCGCAGAGGGTGTGGCTAGTTGGCCCCGGCCTGGGCTTATAGACCCCAGTGCTGATCAGACTATGGACAGAGGGTTCAGGTTTCGATGCCCGAGAACTTCGATCTCCAAGCTCATGCGTCTGTTCGGCACTGGTCCTTCTCCGCAGTGTGCACTGGGCGGCTCGGTGCCCTGCGCGCGGCTTGTCCCACCAGCCTGGCCCATGAGACTGGCGGCCAGCCCCGGCCTTTCCCCCAACGTTCAGCAGAGTCGCCGGCCTAGGGCCTGGGCTCCAACATTTTTTACCCAAACATTTTCATCCAAAGCACTGTTATTTGGGGTATCCGTGGTAGTCGCTGGGAACAGAGTGATCGTTTCTTGGGGAAAAGTGAACATTGATTCTTAAGACATTTGCTGACCGCGAGGAAGGCAGAGAAGGAGCCAGTGCGGGGTGCAAGCCGCCGGCAGCTCTGGGTCCGATGTAAGTGTCTCAGGGTGTGTTTTCAATGCTGTTCGCAAAGATTTACGCGACTGCTGTAAGTTCACAGCTAGCCTAATTAAGAAAGCCCTCTGGCTTTGGTCATTAGTTTATAGCTTTCTGACTTGTTCTTTTAGTATGAAGAGCTGATGGAAGCCTTTAAAGCTTTGCATAAGGAGTGTGAGCAGCTCAAGACATCTGGGTTTTCTACAGCAGAGATAAGACGGGTAAAGAAAAGAACCATAATAATATTCGGGTTTTAATGGCAGAGCTGACTTTTTTGTTTTTAGTTATTTCAGTATGAGTCATGGCTACATATACCCTTTTTTATCTTTCTATCTATTAAAAATATAATTTTAAATACTATTTAATAGTTTGATAGTGTGGAAGTCTTCCTGTTTTGTTCCTGTTTGTTATAGAACTTGTCTTCTGTATAAGCTTTTTTAGACCTGTGATTGTTTTCTTAACATAAATTTCTAAAAATGGAATTGCTTATTGAAGCATATGGAAAGTTTTAGGATTTTGATGCCAGTTACTTAACATTCTCCAAAAAAAAAAAAAAAATATATGTTTACATCCACACCAGGCATTTAGGTTGTTTCCGCAAACTCTAATTCTCAATTTCATGGATTTTGTATTTTTAGATTTCTGAATTATCAGTGCCGGTTTTCTCTTCTCATTCAGTCAGGGAGCTCGAAGTTGCTTCCTCAGGGACGACTCCCCAGACCCCCTAGGCAGATCAGCCCCCAATTCCTTCTGTTTTCCGGCGCTTGCTGGGCATGTGCCGCGGTGGCGGCTGGCAGCTGGTGCCCAGGCTCCCAGGCCGAAGGCTGTCTGCATCCTGCTCGCAGCCTGCAGCCCCGGGCTGCCAGGCGCTGGCGGAGGGCGGGAGGGGCAAGGCGGAGAGACATGACCAAGTTGTCTGGAGTCTCTCATGGTAACTTCACTCGTTAGTACCCGAGTATTTCTGACCACATTCTTCGAAGTATTATTAAGCAAGAAATAGAAAATAATGCACTCAATCCCACGTGCTAGAAATAACTACTGTTGACATTTTAGGGAATATATTTAAATCTTTCTTGGTATTGTACTATATATAAATGTTGTAATCTCTTCTTTCAAGTAATGTCATATCGTGATTTTTTCTTATGGCATTAAACATCCTTCTGCATAATTTGTGGTGACTTCCATTGTATTGTGCTGCCGTTTATTTAATAATCCTCGACACTGGGTCATTTCCAAATTTTAGATATAATTAGAGTCTGTGAGAACCCTTGTGGAGAAGTATGTGACCTTTGATGAATATTTTTTTAGGACAGATTCCCGGAGATGGCATTGCAGCGAGATGGGGCCTGAGGGGCACACTGACTTTACGGGGTCCAGGCCCAGCTTAGGCCGTCAGCGAGAGGGCGAGGGCCTGTGCTTGGGTTTTGCTCCCTGCTCAGCATCCTGGCTGTGTCGCTGTGATGATTAGGCTTCCAGGCTTGGAGAGGATTTCAGTTTGCTTGTTTTCCTTAGAAAATATTATGAACTGGTTAAAAGGAAGGTCACTTATTGTTGAAGTCTTTATTTTCAGGAAAGGAATTGGCTAATTGACCAAACCAGGAACCATTTTGATTTGAAACAGCATAGTCTTAGCAATGATGGGAAATTGGCAGAATACACAACTCAGTCTTAACACAGCAGGTGGGGTGTCAGCGGCTCTGATCACGTCTCCAGACACCCTTTCCACCATAGGAGATGTTTGAGAAATCACATACCCTCATTTGGACTCAGAGACAAAGGTGCCAGTTGGCAGTTTCACCTCTAGGTTATGACCAGTTTTATAAGCCGCTTGTCGAGATGAGCACCAAGCTGCCAAGTAAATCACCTGATCAGAACCCCATGGGGCTGCGAGTGGAGACGCCCTTCAGGCCGCGGGATCTGTTGGAGACTCAAGAGCGTCGGGGAAGAGACCCACAGAACCGCCTGTGCTCCGTAGACGAACACTTTTTCTTATAATGTCTTCTGGGCTCCTTTTTTTAGGATATCAGTGCCATGGAGGAAGAAAAGGATCAGCTCATCAAGAGGGTGGAACGTTTGAAGAAAAGGGTAAGGCAGGAAGTTGGCCTGAGACTCCGAGTCCCCGCCCGAGGACTCGCAGAGATCTGAGCGGCAGGGTACCCCGAGGACAGCTGACCCCACAGAATGGAGCCTCCCTCGGCGGCGACGCCAAGCTTCCCCGGCGTCCAGCGGCCGCTGTCATGTCTGGGGGGCCGTTCACCGAGAAGCACCCGGCGGCGTGCGCGTCAGGTGCCCGGCGGCGTGGCCTGGGCTCTGATGTGCCTGTGCTGCTTATGCCCGCGTAGGTAGAGACAGTTCAGAATCATCAACGGATGCTTCAAATAGCGAGGCAGCTTCGTGTGGAGAAGGAGAGGGAGGAGTTCCTTGCGCAACAGAAACAGGAGCAGAAGAACCAGGTACCGCGGGAAGGCGCGAGCGCTGGGGCTGTTGCTGGAGAATTCCAGCGTAAGGGGAGAAATCTGGAGCCGTTGGCGCGTTTCCCTTCGTTGACGCGGGATCCTCGAGAGTTTGTGGGGCCAGCACCGCCCCCCACCCCACAGGCCCCGCCCCGGGTCACGCCCGCGCCTGGGGTGGCCAACAGGACAGCGTTGGCCGACCAGCGGGAGACTGGTGACCGAGCTGCTGCAGTCCCCAGCGGTGTCCGCGACTCGGGCTGGGCGCGGGTCGTGCGGCCGATGGCAGTGCAGCGCGCCCACCCCGAGGCGGAGGGTCACGGCCGCATCTCCAAGAGGAGTTGGCTACAGGGGATCCCCCTAGGGGTCTGTCTCCCCGAGCGGTGGATGCTCAGGGTGCTGGACATGGGGCGCTGCCGCTGTGGCCGCGGGACGCAGTGGTGGTGGTGGTGGGGGGGTGTTTCCTTAGCAGGGGTTTTCCCTGACCACCAGGTTCAGCAGGTAACCAAGGAGGTTTCCTGGAAGCTTTGCTTAAGGAGGTTGGCGTAGGGAGGCTTTGTGGGAACCAGCTCCGCTGTGGCACCGCGGTTTTCTCAGTTCTGACTGCTTGTTCCCCCGGTGTCACCCAAATTACGCCGCACCTGCGTTTTCTTGGCCTCTCCGGGGGTCAGCAGACACGCAAGTGACAGTGTGGTTGTGTCTTCAAGCTGTTCCACGCCGTGCAGAGACTGCAGCGAGCGCACAGCCAGCTGAAGAGCCTGCGCCACGCGGCCGCTGACGCCAAGCCCGAGAGTGAGTAGGGTGGCGGGGGGCCAGCCTCCTGCGTGTGACCGGCGGTGGGCAGCACTCGGGTTGGGTAGCAGTTGACCACGACCCATCACTCACTGTGGCAGGCATTTTCCTGGCTCTGGAGTGCAGTGTGACAGCCCTGAATTGCCCTCCGGGCGCTTCAGGTCCCAGCATGGTTTTTTCAGAGGGCGGGTGTGTGTGTGTGTGTGTGGCCGGGTGTGTGAGGACAAGGCCCGTGAGGACGTGTGGGGGGGGCCCCTGGGTGTGTGAAGACTGGAGACCTGATTCTGGGCTGGAAGATCGTCACCTTTGCAGGCAGCAAGGAAGCGAGGAAGAAGGAAATGGCCGAGATGTGAAAATAGGGGCCATAGGCCGGTGGTTTGCAACAGAAGAGGGGAGCAGGAAGTTGGGGTTCTTGCTCTTTCTGGACATCGCCCAGGGAAGTCTCCAGGCTGCGCCCAGTAGCCTGGGGAGAAGAGGGTAAACAAGGTGTCTGTGGTCCGGGATGTTGGTTTATAAGGCTGGTTTCTACTAAATAGCATGACAAGTATTGTCTGCTTAACAGAGAATTTGTGTTTTTCAGAGTAACAGACACATTGTAAAACTTTTCTTGACGTTGACATCTTCACGCTCTGCACATTTGTGCATTTATTCCACAAAAGGAGCTACTGATTCAGTTAGGGTCTGTGAGACATTTGCAGAGGGTCTTGAATGGAAAAGTTCGCTGAAATCTTAGTGACCTTGTATTTGTTTTCACCAAGATTTGGAAGGGTGACTTTAAAAGTGCATAGAGCCAACATGGCTACTTCTCAAGGTCTGAGTCTCAATTTTTAAGGGAATTTAAAACATGATGCAAACTGTGAGCCGTTCAACAGCTCTGCGAGGCTAGGTTAGCAGATAACGCTCGCACACGTGGAAGGCGACACCAGGCCTCCAGCACAGGCACCGGGTGGCTCTCAGCTCTGCCCCACGCCGCGCCCGCCGGCACTTCCTGCCGGGCTTTGCCTTCAGCCGCCCAGGCAGCTTTGAACTTGTGCCCTCTGCACGTACAGACCATGCTAAAACAGAGACAGGGATGTGTAGGGCACTGACTGAAAGCATTCAGACGGAGCTGCTCGCCTCTATTGATGCCCTCTGTTTGAGAACTTGAGCCGAAGGCAGCCTCTAGTAGCCCAGGAAGCCAGGAAGCCGCAGGGGGCGCCTCCAGACCCTAGGTGATCGGTGAAGTACTTTCTCGTCCTTCCTTTCCTTTCCTCAACTCCTAAGATGGGAAAATTGTAGGGATGAATGGAAAACTTGTGAATTTGCCACTGATAGGTCTGTACGTGTTAATATATAGTTAGCAAAACAGAACTAAAAATAATTTTAAGCTTTGAGCCAAATTTATTATGCAATCTACGTAGATTACTTAAACCGGAAATCCAGTGTTTTAAAAACAGTCAAGCCAGAATTTGTAAATGTGTAATGGAAAGATCTGAAATAAACTTTTTAAAGCTCTCTAGGCTGGGAATTTATAACAAAGCCATTACTCACTGGAAATCTGTGTATATGTGTACATTTGTGCATTCTGCAAAAAAAAAGGACTTAAATCTTAAAAATTTAAGTTGCCGGCCCTCCCTGGTGGCGCAGCGGGTTAAAGCACAGCACTGAGAATCTAAAGCCGCTTCCGCATGAGTTCAATTCCCGCCTGCCCCGGAGGTGACCACATGGCGCGGCAGACCTCTCCTGACCCGCCCGCTGCTCCCCTCAGCAGTGTACTTCATAGATCTGCCTGTTCTGTTCCCCACTCTGTCTCTGGTGAAGCCTCTCACTGCCCCTGAGCCTCTGGCCTGTACCCCAGTTCTGTATGCACAAATAAATAAATCTTTAAAAAAAAAAATTTAAGTTGCCACTTAACTGTAAACTACATTATAGAATCACAACTACCAAACACGGAAAACCAGAAGTGTTTATGAGTGTAAATAATTTCTCTTTTTAGATTTTCTTTCAATACCTGTAGTGATGTTTTTTGGTTTAAAACTGACAAGTTATAATGTATTTTCAAATCCTAAGTCCTGGAAGTGTAAGTTGCATGAGAAGTCTTGCAAAAGAAACAGAGTAAGTGACTGCTCCCAGAAGAGAGGGCCGGGATTAGGGTTCACTGATGCCATTCAGACGGCACATAGGACCCCAAAATAGCTCTGCAAACGTTATTTTTGCATAATGTGGAACACAACCAACAGAGTAGTAATTGGAAGGCCAGAGTCTCACCACTGTGGTGGTTTACAGCCGTCTCCCATGTAAATGATCCTTCCTTCGCGCCCAGTGAACACCCAGGTTTCGCGGCTCAGTGGCTGTGCTGTGCGTGGTGGCAACGGCCCGCCTGCGCCCCGCCGCTGTGCCCTGCTGCTCAAGGCTTGCATTTCAGGGCGTGCAGAATGGAATCATGCTTTCTCTCTTGGGCTGACTGTTCGTTTCTTTTCCTTTTAAAGGCTTAATGAAGAGGCTAGAGGAGGAGATAAAATTTAACTCATACGTGGTGACTGAAAAATTCCCTAAAGAATTGGAGAGCAAGAGAAAAGAGCTGCATTTTTTACAAAAAGTGGTTTCAGAACCTGCTATGGGCCATTCTGATCTTCTTGAACTTGAGTCTCAAGTAAGTGGCACTCACCCCTTGAAATGGCTCTGGTGCCCCCTGGTGCCCCGTCTGGTGCGCATGCGCCCCGTGCCCCCACCACCGACCTGACTGAACCTGCCTGGGGCTGACAGGCTCCTGGCGAGGCACCCCCCCCCCCCGGCCCCTGTGAGGACAGCAGCCTGCGCTGCTGGTGCTTCGTCCCCGTCGTGGGAGGCTGTGCCACGGGATGCAGAAGCGACGCTCGTGCGGGTGAGTGGGTTATGTGTTCAGAATGTCAGTCTTCAGAGGCGCATGGTGACATTTTAAATATCCTTGGTTTTGCTCCCTAGGAAGGAAACTGTAACAAGTTTACATTTAAAGCTGTCTCTCTTAGCCTCTGTGCCAGCTCAGGATCTAGCGAACATCCTTACCGTGCTCACTAAAAACCTGGTGTCCTGTAACATTTTTATTCCTACAATTCCTACAAATAAAACACTAATCATTATGTACATTTATTTTATTTTATTTTTTTAAAGATTTATTTATTATTCATACAGAACTGGGGTACAGGCCAGAGATGCGGAGGGTGAGAGGACTCACCAGAGACAGAGTGGGGAGCAGAACAGGCAGATTGACAAGTACACTGCTGAGGGGAGTAGCGGGAGGGTCAGGAGAGGTCTGCCTCACCATGTGGATCTCCTCCAGGGCAGGCGGGGATTGAACTCATGCGGAGTTGGCTTAAGCTTCTTAGTGCAGTGCTTTAACCCGCTGGGCCACCAGGGAGGGCCCATTATGTATATTTTTTAGAAGAAGAAATCTTACGAAAATTGAAAGGTTTGGCAACTACAATGGTAGTCATAACTGACCACTTTATGTATCAATTGACTTATAAAAATCAGGTGTCCAGGTCAGTTTTGACTAAAACCCTGGTCTTTTGAGAGGCCAAATATGCAGAAAGCCTTTAGATTTTTAATGTCTTGAGAGATTTTGTTGTCATCACATTTGGAGAAGTTCGGATGGATGAGTCAGTGGCAGCTACAGTGAAATCAGAGTTCCTTAGGACAGGAAGGGCTTAGATGTCATTCACGTCTTCTCTTGGCTGGCTCGTGAATTCCATCTCCTAACTCCCTGGGGAGTGTCAGCCCGGTGCGCCTTGTCACTTGCAGTCACAGCCGGGTGCAGGGACAACATCAGACTTTGTGGTGAGACTTAACGCAGTGTGTACGAAGGGATCATTGAGATACGATGGGGAAAGCCATGCAATTAAGCGACCTGCGTACACCTCTCTACAGAGTGTGAATTGTTCCTAAAAAGCAGTGCCAGCAGCCACTTGCCGCACTCACGGAACCGCCCCCTGAAGTCAGGGAGGAAAGGCCTGTGCTCATACCCGCAGCTTAGCTGGGCCCGATGTCCCTTTCGTGTGTGAGCCTCTGAAGCACGTTCATCTTTTTTGCTTTCCTACTGCTTTTAGATAAATGAAATAAACACACAGATCAACCAGCTGATTGAAAAGAAAATGATGAGAAATGAGCCCATCGAAGGCAAACTGTCACTGTACAGGCAGCAGGTAAGGCCCAACTTCGGCCCCCGGATTGGCGCACATCGGAGTACCCCGAGGCGCGGTTAGCCACAGCCTTCCCGTGAGAAGGAAGCACAGGCACACCCGTGACCACGCGTCTTCAGGTTCTGATAGAGTTTGTGGGACAGCCACAGGCACACGTCCTGGTCGGAGCTACAGTGTCTGGTGATGGTTGGGCTCTGTAATGCCAGCTCTCATGGTGGAGCTGTTAGCGCTGACACGTGTAACTGCGGGAGTGGATTTTTTCAATGAAAGTTTACCTTAAATGATAGAAACAAGAATACTTACCAGCGCTAATGAATTAAAGGTACTCTGCTTTTTCAGATTTAAGGTTAATTTGCAAGTAACTGTAATTTTAGTGCCAAGTCATGTATCATTATATATATGAGTATTAGAGGGTGATTGGATCTGTGATATGTACTTCGAGACAAAAGACTCAAATGAAAGCCATGGATTCTCTGAGAATCCAGAGCTTAGTAGGAAGACTGTTTCATACCCTCAAGAGTAGCAAACACTTCATCAGCCTTAATGCCTGTTCATAGACACCAGAACTTTCAAAACTTTCTTAAATGGAAATTTCAACCCTACACAAAAGTGAACTCTAGCAAGCAAGGCCTTCCTTGCTTGGTCTGTACTCCCACTCCAGCCGGGTTATTTTGAGGTAAATCGTGGAGTCCAAGTCGCTTCACCTGTAGCTATTTCAGAATGTGTCTCTGGAGAGGAATGCCTGTAAAGAACACACCTCAGCTGAAACTTCCAGCAGTGCCTTGACACTGGCAGCGAACCAGCCCATGTTCCTGTTTCCTGACCCCCTCGCTGCCTGCCGCGTGCACACACCCTCCGGCCCTCAGTTTTAACTCAAATCCACACAGGCATCAGCTGCACACACGGTGATGTGTTTACGTTTCTTTTAATCCGTCAATTCTCTTTCCCATTTAATTTTCTTGTGGTTTATTTCTTGAAGAAGCCGTTTACCCGTTAGCCATTGCCATCCATGCTTTGTAAGTCGCCAGTCTGGGCCCTGAGGCCTTCACCTGGCCTGGCCTTCTCTGGTTTCCCCGTCTGTCAGCGGGATACTTTCGCATAGCTGGCCTCCTGTTTTGGCTGAGAAGCTTTCCGGGCGCCTCCCGGCCTTCTTTGGGGTGACTGTGCGGGAGGTGCCTGTGATGCCGCTGCTGGTTGTTGGCCCTCCCCTGCTCCCTCCACGGGCGTCACAGGTCGCCGAGGCCGTGCTCCTCTCGTGGGCTCGTGGGGCCCTTCTGCAAGGAGAAGCTGCCTTCTCCACGCCTATTTGCCCGGGGCGTAGCTTCAGCCTTCCTTATCCCTTTGCAGAACGAGTTGATTTCTGTCAGCCATTTTGACCCCAGAGTAAGAGCACTCGGCTGGAGTTCGCCCGCTCTTGCTGCTGCTTGTTTATCTAACGGTGTTATGCTGTGCAGATATAATAATGTTTGCAAACACTGTTCTTCTGTGCTCAAATCGGCCCATTGGTGCTTCTTGGGGGGCCACAGGGCCCAGACTGTGTTGATGTCCTCGCTTCCTGGTACAAGTGAGAAAGTTCTAGGCACCTCTTTGGAATTTTTACACTGGTCCTGGAATCAGACTTCCTGATTTTAGCAGGACTCCGTGCCCGCAGGGAGGCCGCTGTCTTCAATCTTTGCTCAGTGGTCAGAGCCAGGTGGTGCGTCTCTCTCTCTCGCTCATAACCCACACGGTCACCCCGCCAGGCCCTCAGAGCAGGCTCTGGACCGCCGGTGTTTTGTCCTGCCCCCCCTCCCCTTCCTTATCTCCCTGGTCCGCAGGGCCACCGCCACGCCCTCGTCCACTGTTGCTCTGTCCCGGTGGCCCCGATGCAGCTCGTGATTGGCTTTAGTCTGCAGCTCACACAGCAGTGTCAAGCTGTAAGCATTGATGCGACCGCCCAGTTGTGAAAACTCGTGTTTTGGTTTGTCTCGTCTTTCCGCTGTATCTCGGAGATGCAGTCAGACCACTGTTCTTCAGCCAGTCGGACTAGTTCTTCCCTGTGCTGCCACCAATTAAACTGTGTGTGTGCATACATTGTGTTTGTGGAATATGAAACCTGTCCGGTCATTTAGGTCTTTAGTTGTTAGTTTGGCTTGATCATTAAGGAGATGTGCATAATTCTAAAGTCAAAAGTCAAACCTACAAAACATCCAAAGAAGTTGCTGGCATCTACCTGCGCTCTCCACCCTGTTCTTCGCCCAGAGGCAATTATTTTTTAAATTGTATTATTCATTATTCCGTTAGAAATATCATATGTGCATATATTTGCGTACTTCCTTTCTTAGGGAAAGGAGAGCATAGCATACCCGCTTTTACTCTCCCTGCTTCTTTACTTCTTAACATACTCTGGTGAAAGGTAGACGAATCTCTGTTCCCTTTTTTATAGCTTTGAGGTACAATTGATGTATCATACAAATTCATTCACTGAAGTATTCTTTTATTACAGAGTTGTGTAGCCATCACCAAATCAGTTTTAGCACTTTTTTCTCTCCCCATAAAGTGACCTAGCGGTCACTTCCCATTTTCCTGCATACACCTTGACATAATGACCGCCAGGACAAACTCTCGACTTGCCTCAATTTGTTACGGACACCCTCATGGAAGTGGAATTAGATAAGCCAGGGCCCTTTGCAACCGTGTCTCTCTCACTTAGAAGTTTTTTTTTTTATTGTTTACCCACCCATGTTGTAGCATGGAGCAGCACTTCATTCTCTTTATTGCTGAATAATGTTCCATTCCCGGGATATATCATGTCTTGTTTATTTATTAGTGATGAGCATTTGGGCTGTGTCTGACTTTTGGCTCTTCTGAATAATGCTGTAGGAATATTCTTATATAATTGCTTTTGTGTGAACAGATGTTTTTGTTTCTCTTGAGTATGTTCCTGCATTGGAATTATTTACTGTTTTATTTATTGTTTTATTTACTAGATCTCTGTTTAACATTTTGAAGAAATGCCTGACTGCTTTTCAAAGTGGTGCTACCATCTTACATGTCACATTTTGCATTTCCGTTTTACACTTTATAGCAGGTATAGAGGTTCTGACCTCTTTGTGTTCTCACCAACACTTGCTAATATCTGGCTGTTGTTTCTGTTGTAGCCATCTACTGGTTATGCTCGACCCTGCTGGCAGCTCTGTAGGCCACCCCCAACCCCCGCCACAAGGGCACCCACCCCACAGCTCACACAAGCCTGCCCCCAGGAGATGAACATTGGGCTGCTACCATTCTTTGCCACAACAATGTGCTTCAGTGAATAGCTTTGGCTGATGTCTTTGCATGCAGGCTACCAGTGCCTCCTTGGGACACAGCTCCGGAGATGAGGCTGTGATGCTTGCATTGGCTCGTGCCGACAGCCCTCTCCTCAGGTCTTGGCATTTTACATGACCCCAGAGCGCCGGATGCCTGCTTCGCACAGCCTCCCAGCAAACAGGTTGTTGGCCGTAGACGTTCCCATCCTGTGAGTGAGAAGTGGTGCCTGAGCCAGGTACCTCGCTGTACACAGGCTTGAGCAGTTTTCATGAGTAATAGTCATTTTCAGTCTCATATCTTGACCCATTTTATAACAGCTCTTGGCCTTATTTTAGACACGCGTCACCTAGCAGGACCCCTGTCTAGCTTCTCCAGGGACGTTTCTCTCCAGCTTGCTATTTACCTTTTTCTGAGCTTCTGGGAATGTTCTCCACTTCTATGGAACCAAATGTATCAATTCTTGCGCTTATTCCTTCAGATTCTGAGACATATTTAACATTTTTTTCACTTGCAAACTGTAGAAGAATGCAAAGGCCAGAAGGCCAGTCAAAGATAAGTTTTGATCCTCCCCCAGAGTAAAGGTTCCAGGAACTGACTGTTATCTGCACCAGGCATCTGGCAAGCAGGGACTTGTGACCGCCCAGCCCCTCCCACAATGCCTTTATAAACCCACGACTTTAAGAAGTCCTTCCCTCTCACGGAGGATCCGCTGTGTGGGATCACTCTGGGCCAGACCCTAGCTCGAGCAAGCTAATAAAGGTTCACTTTGCTTTTACATTAGACTTGGGTCTCGGTCGTTACTGGCACTTTCATACTTTAACACAAACATACTCAAGTTTTCTCTTTGGACATTTATTATTTAATGTTTTTTTATATTTAAATCTCTGATCTTTTTAGAATTTTTTTCTGGCCTGTCGTATGTATTGTGTGGCTACCCAGTTACCCATTTCTACCAATCCCAGTTAGTAAAAAAAACTGTTTTCCCCCCTGATTTGAGAGCCTACCTATATTTTTTTCCAAATCTTTGTATCCTGTATTCTGCTGTATTCCTGTCGTGTTTGTTTGCAGTCGTTTTATAACCAAGCGCTAATACCTACTCAAAGTAACAGCCTTTACCCCCCACCAAATTACTTTATATTTTCAGAGTCTTCCTTCCCATTTTATTTTGTATATCCCCTTAAACACCTTTCTTATCAACTATCGAGATTAGAAAACAGCACAATTTAAAAATTTGGGGGGTTGCTTTATATTTAACAATTACCTCAGAATTTGCACCTTTATGATGTTCGCTCTACCTGTGTAAGAACTCGCTCTTTCTCCCCATTTATACAAGTTTATTTTTGTATCTTTCAGGAGCATTTGCCAGTTTTCCTCAAAGTTTTGGAATTTCTCTTATTAAATTGATGCTCCCACGTTTACTTTCATTTTTTTTACTTTTCTAAATGATGGCTTGTCTCTCTCTGTGGCTTTTTGCTGACTTATTGATAAAAGCTATTAGTTTTCTCATAGGTTCTTTGGTTTCTAAGGAACATAATCATGTATTATGAGCATTCTAATTTTTCTTTTTAAATTCTTACTTTTGAAATTGCTCACTCTTGCCTGACAATATGAGCAAATGCCTACAACACAATGCTAACTGAAAGTGGAGGTGGCGGGGACTTTCACCTTGTTCCAGACTTCAGTGGATGCCTCTTTCACTAATACGATCAAGCTGCTTATTGGTCACATTCAGGAAGTGTGCCATCAACTGCTGTATAGATAACACTGATACTTGTATCACTCGTTTTCTTCTTTAAAAAAATTTTTGGCTGGAATAATCCTATGCAGAGAACACTTTTACTACTTGTCTTTCCATTTTTAAACAGGAAGCAGAGAATTTTTAGAAATGGTTTACACTAGAGATCCCCTCTCTCCTTTCCAATTTGCTTAAATAAAATATTTGCAGCTTTTTACGTAAGAATGCAGTTGCCTAGAGTCTTAAACTAGCACTTCCTGGGCTCATCTAAGGAGCTCTGGGGCTGCTAACTGACTTGAGGCACTGGGTCCTACCGCAGCCAGCTGGCCTTGCTCAGGCCGGGGAGTCAGGCGCTGGGTTTCAGCTAGTAGAAAGCTCCACCTATAACAAATATCTTCACATTTCACCCTAGAAGTACAGGACTGAGTTGATGTAGAGGGCCTGTGCTGTGATTTTGAGGATAAAGCATCCCTGTTTTCTTCCAATGAAAGGAAGCGCACCATGCAGGAAAACAATTTTTCTGCTCCGGTTGCTCACCTAAGGTGTGCTTTTGCCAATGCTCGGATGATAATGGACAGGGCTGTAATATTCATATGACCTTGTGGTTTTGGATCTCTGCTCACATCTCCTGTACTTCAGAGCTTTTGTCTCCCAAGAGCTTTTAGGTTGGTATTTAGTATGACTTGCATGCTCACATTAAACACATCAGGTGATGGCAGTTACCCAGACATTGGTCAGGAGAAACCACTGATACCGAGATGTCAGTAAAACTGAGTTCAGTGAGATCAAGGCTCTAGTTGATTGTCAGGAACGCGATGGCGTGGTGTCTTACACGCATGGCGCGGTGTCTTACACGCACGCTCATGGCTTACCTAGGCATCCATCCTCGCTCGGAAGAAGGAAGCCAAAGCCGAGGAACTTCAAGAAGCAAAGGAAAAGCTGGCCAGCCTGGAAAGAGAGGTGTCGGTGAAGGCGAATCAGACGCGCGAGTTTGACGGCACGGAGGTTCTGAAGGGAGATGAGGTAAGGCGGGCACCGGGAGGCCGGGCGCCAGTTTCTGCTGGAGGCATTAACGTCTTTAACTTTTCTAGGTTGAATGGCAGCAATGAAGAGTTAATCTTGTGTTACAAAACCTAAGTATTTAAAAGTTAAAACTGCAAGGATATTGAGCTACCCTTAATGCAAGACAAGAGTTAGTGTTTTTATGAGCGAACATTCCAGAGTTCCACTTTTTAATTAAGTGGATTTACTATAAAAATTAAGTTGTACAAGCGACCGAGATGAGCAATAATTAACAGACACGATGGCCAAAGTTCATGTTTGTTGATAAATCCATTCTGTGAAGGGCTGAGGAAACATTGTCTCTAGGTTACTTGTGGGCGACACCTGTCTGGCTGCTGGGGCTGGCACCTGACAGTGGCCCGTGTGTGACTACGCCTGAGATGGGCTCTGCTGCCAGAACACTGGCGACGCCTCCTCCGGCGCGGGACGTGTGGGAGGAGTGAGTGGGTTGCAGCCACGCTGTGCCTTGGCCCCCTGGGCTCACGTGGGCAGGCCTGGCGACCCACCTCACCCGCCGTCAGCCTCACACAGCGAGAGGACGGTAACGCCGTCCTGTATGCATGACTATGCTGACATGCCCGAAATACTGTTCCCTGGTTCCTTTCCATAACTCAGCTCAGGGAAGAAGGGATCAAATCGCTTGTCTTCAGCCTGGCACTGCTTTTAGCAACTCCGGTAGGTTGCAGGCCGGCCTCACCCGCAGGCGCCTTCCTCTCTTCCAGCTCCTTTATCTTGTAACAGCCCCTCGGCCTCAGCGCCAGCGACGCTGACAAGCTGCTCCTGTGCAGACCTCAGTTTGGGCTTGGAGACTCTCAGGCTGTCTCCAGGACATAGTGGCATAGATGCGCGGCCTCCAGGGCTGCTTCCTTTGTGGCTCCGACTCGCCTGGTAGCTGACTGGGGGTCGAGGACCTCAAAGTCAACACTAGATCGAGGAACCTCTGTGGTCTGATGCGGGTTTCCAGGCTGAGAGGGCACTGGGACCCGGCAGCATAGCCCGCTGGCGTCGTGGCTACGGAGAGGATGGAGCCCCTGCCTGGAGGCCAGCCGCTCCTGGTGTTTTAATGTTTTCAAGCAGACGCAGCCAGGGAGGGAAATGCTAACTGCTGTCCACTTTTGGGTGACGGTGCTATGTCAGATTCAGACCTGCTGTGCAGTAGGAGGGCCAGGCTGGGCCAGGACACTGGCGTTCGTCTCTGCGAGCTCCTGTGGGAGGACGCATGGTGACAGAAAGTTGCTTACTTTTTTTTTTAAAGGTTTTTTTTTTTTTTAAGATTTATTTATTTGTGCATACAGAACTGGGGTACAGGCCAGAGGCT